CCTGTGTTTACTCCAAACGCCTCGCTGAGTCTTCCGTTGTGGATCACTTGGCAGGTGCCGTTGTCGTACAGCTGTTGAATAAGGTTGATGAATATTTGGGGTACGCCATAGTACTCGAGTAATTTCCAAATTACTTCACGATCAACGCTGTCGAAGGCCTTCTCAAAGTCTATAAAGTTGAGGTAGAGGTTTGATTGCCATTCCATGCTTTGTTCGATGATGATGCGTAGAGTTGCAATTTGGTCAGTACATGATTTGCCTTTCCTGAATCCAGCTTGTTCTGGTCGGAGTTCTGTCTCCAGTGCGTCCTTTAATCTCTCCAGGATGATGCGACTCAGGATTTTACTTGGCGTCGATAGGAGCATGATTCCTCGCCAGTTCTTGCAGAGTGAGGCACAAGTCGCCCTTCTTTGGTAGTTTCACGAGGTAACCTTTCCTCCAGTCAGTAGGCACCTTTCCCTCCTTCCAGACCTTTTGCAATAATGGAGTCAGCATGTCTGCTGTCGTCTCTGGGTCTGCTTTCAGTGCTTCAGGGGGTATTCCATCTGGTCCGGCTGTTTTTCCAGCTTTCAGAAGTTTGATTGCATTCAAGACTTCAGCTTTCGTTGGAGGATTGGTGTCAACTTGCAGTTGTGTGCGCGCTGTTGTTGGTATTTCTGGACGGGTTGCAGGTGATGGTCGGTTCAAGAGTCCTTTGAAGTGATCCGCCCATTGTTTAATCTGTTTTTCTTCCTTGGTAATGGGCTTCCCTTGGCTGTCTTTTATAGGTTTCGCTTGTGTTGGTCTCTTCCCGGATAGAGATTTGGTTATCTGATATAGTGTCCTCAGGTCCCTTTTGCCTGCTGCCTTTTCAGCTTCAGTAGCTAGGTTGTCGTAGAATCGTCTTTTGTCCTTCCTAGCACTCTTCTTCACTTCTTTGTCCAGTGCTGTGTAAGTTGAGCTCAGCGTCTCCTTCTCCTGTCCGTCCTTGCATTGAATCATTTTCTCTTTCACCATTCTCCTCTCTTCTATTAATTTCCAAGTGTCCGTTGAGAGCCATTCCTTGTCTTGTCTCTTCTTTCTTCCTAGAACCGTTGAACACGTTTCGTTGAGAATCGCCTTCAGAGACTTCCAATGTTCTTCCACGCATGATTCTTCAGTGATGTCGCGTAGTGTTTCCTGCTTTGCTCTGACAGTTGCAGTGAAGTGTCTTTTGTGGTTGTGTCCTTCAGTAATTGAGTGTTGAACTTGCATTGTGGCCTATCCCCAGCTATCCTCGAGGCTTTTAGTTTCACCTTGAAAGTCCCTTCTACTAGATAGTGGTCTGAACCCACATCTGCTCCTCTCCTTGACCTTGTGTCCAGTAGGCTCCGTCTCCACTTTCTTGAAATTGAGATGAAGTCTATTTGATTCTTGGTGTTTCCATCTGGTGAAATCCATGTCGTCTTGTGTATATCCTTGTGTTTGAACACACTGCCACCAATCACCAAATCATTGAAGGCGCAGAAGTCTGAGAAGAGTTCACCATTGTCGTTCATTTCACCGAGGGCCTCACGACCCATGGTGAGTTCTCTTCCTGTGTTGTCGCTTTACTTAATACTAAACAGAGTAAAACAGAAAACATTCAAATAACACAGGTGAAATTCAATCTACAAGAACTAATGTTCTGATTAGAAGTATGTTTTATTGATAGAAGTGGTAATCATAACGACACCAATATGTGTGTTTGTTGAAACTGTTAAATGAAGCGGTGGGTGGATGAGTTGATAACTATTTGTCAGAAATATTTGACTAATTGACACATCACACAATATTTGACATGGACGTAAACAGATAAAGCACACTTTGCACTAGCTTCGACTGGTCACGTCTACGTTTCGCTTAAACATACGAATTTTCGATATTTTGCTTACAATCCTAAAAGATTCTAAGTCACTTCTAAACTCTTACATGAATATTATGAAGTAATTTTTCTACCTGTAATTTAGTGTGAAGGCATTAACCAAAATTTCTCGATTCTTCATCCAAACACTACAAATGATCAGGGTGTTTCGGTATTACCTGTTACATGTAAACCATCACATTTCAGTGGTTGATTTTTCGTTAAACTACGGTCTTCATGCTGAGGTGCTGCTTATTAGGATAGAAAAGGTGTGAACGTATTCCATTAATGCATTATCAACATAAGAATAATATGTTAATGTGCATACGAATAAATGAAGAATTAGAGAAAATGTAGAGTTATTTCACATGTTTAAGGAATTCACGAGATGAATGTAAAGTATACACTCTGCATAAAGACTTCCTTTCCTTCCCAAGCAAAGGAAATTGATATTGCTGCGAACATTGAAATAATTGCAACGTATATATCTAAAAGGTCCAACATCTTCTGGAACATGGAAGTTGTTTTCTGAAAACGTTTTCTGAGTCCACATACTACGCAAAACAAAATCTAAAACAGACCGAAATACGCTTAAATTAGAAATAAATATGATTTGTTTACATGCATCAGGAAATCGAAGATATTGTTTAGCATCAGTATCTCATGGAAGAATGAAAATATCAGGTGTATTACGCAACATGATCTATACAAACCCAAATGAAAGAATACTTAAGCTACGGCTAAGTACCTCGTAAAAAGTACTGAAAAATGGTGGTAAAGAAGTGTTCTACAAAAGGCGAAACAGCCTTTCATAGCACACTCTCGGATGTAGCAGAGCAGACTGCAAGTATGCGATAACCCACAACACTATGTGAGGTAATGAGGTCCAAATCAGTGGAGAGAACGATGCAGATGAAACCAGTGGGAGGTGGCTGACGAAAGGACATCATCAAATAGACAGAAGAGAGAAGACGTGGGCTAGTGCAGTTCAAAGAACTGCTGCATCAACTACCACCTGCAATTGGCCAAGTAAGAAAACTGTTAGTGAATTAAAAACCAACGATGAAAACAGGAGTCGTGGATATAATAACATCACTAAAGGCCGGTAAGATAGCATGGTCAGATAAATATCCCCGTTGGCACTGTGGATGCAGCTAGAGATCTCACCAGGCATAATCATGGCAAAAACTGCACAATGTGTAGGTGAACGGGGTTGATTTAAACCTAAACAATATCTGGCGTGGAACCATGCTCATGTTCACTACAAAGAATAAATTAGGCCCCATGATTCTGCAAAGAAACTTTTGAGCGGAACAGCGTGGATTCAGAAAACTAGTTCATGTGTGGATCAGAGTACACCATAATGCATTCTCAACCAACAGACCTATGAGTGGTAGCCACCTGTGCATCTCTATTTGGTTGACTTTGAAAACCTGTCCGACAGCAATAAAGCAATTCTTTGGCACTATGAAGTGCAATTCGGCGAATAATGAAAAAGGTGATTCAAATGAAGCGATTGGTCTTGACAGAGGTGCAGAATGCAGCCATCGTCTACCAATGATGATCTCCCAACTTTAGTTCACGAGATCATGCGACAGCTGGTGATAGGCATATGTTGCAATGACAAAATATCCTGGAATATCTGAATTTCGCCAACAACAACAAAATCGAAATGATACGAATAAAAACTAACAATTTCGAGCATAGATAGGGAAGGTAGGAATTAAATTTAACACAGAGAGATAAGAAAGGGTTGATCCAGATCTTTTAAATATTATAACAAATGTCCTCAACTATGAATAGTAGAAATGTGAGGAATGTCAACTCTTTAACGTTTATGATCTGATAGTTGTAATGATCGGAATTACTACACAGTAGGCTGTGCGCGAAAACTAACTTAATGCGCTGGCTAATCGCGTCAACAACAAGCTTTCACTGTCTCAAAACAACGTCAACAAAAAATATTGACAGCGCTTGCGTAAATATATATATATATATTTAAAATGACATTGAGAAGCACTAATGTCATTGAAAAATTAAGACACTGAACAATTATTTGGATTTCATGGGTCGTAAGTGGCGTGAGAGAAAATTAGGTCACAGATCAATAAGTGGGTTAGAGAAATACGAACAGACATGTATAAATGACACGTAGATAATTGGGTCTATATATCAGTAGTATTGGTACGGATAATGTTATGAGATCTAGGCAGAGTTGGATTGACTGTTGAAGCAGTACTCTGAAATCAGAGTGCGATTCTACACTGCTCAGGAGGAATAAACGACACCTAAATTTGCAGTGATAATGTCAAGTGAGTGATTCCATATGGTTCAAAGACTTGAAATAGGTATCACCAGGATTATTTGAAACTGACTAAAAAATATAATCAATAGATGCGTTCGCTGGCCTGACAGTGGAGACCATTTGGTCAACTAGAAAGTTTGAGTGACAAGAAACTTTGGAAGCTTATCAGTCGTCAAGAAATCGATACTCAACAAGTGTGCAGATGATAATATAGGTAGAGCAGATATTCGCTGTGTAGGCCGTTTTGCGACATCACATAGTAGTCAGTTTGCTAAGTGACACATCAGGGGGAAGCGACGACTTTGTCGTGCTACGAGGAAGAATGAGAAGCCTGAAGGCCGTCATTTAGCCACCCGTTTGTGTTAAAGGTTGACTGAGTCGGATGGGGATGTACTACTGAAGACCACTGTTACTTTGTATTGCAAAGGATGAATAATAGTAATAATTATCATTGTAATAGTTCAGCAGTGCAAAATACATATCTGTCTTGATAAACTTCTCCTCACCCTCCAATATTTATACCGACATTCACCTAATTATTGTGAATTGTTCGCTATTACTAGTTATGAAAGAATTAGCACGTGGAGTGAATGACACTTTTGTAGTTGTGTTTGTTCATGACTTTGAATAAAACTCAGAACTGTTGCTTAGTCAGTGGGGAAAGTAACTCATCACTCAATGTGTGAATGCTGTATATCATTTCATTAGTGAAGAATTGAACTCCATGTAGGAAAGACTGAACTTGATGTGATACAAATTTGACAACTACAAACAACAAAATGATCAATATTTCAATAAAGTGAGTTTTGACTCTATAGATGATAAGAAACTCACAAAAGTTGCTGCAGAACCCAAAAATACACCCGCCAGAATTCCAAATACCGGCTAGAATGAGAAGAAAAATTGCCACGTTAGATGAATGACTGGGACTACTTAAGCATATTCCATGAATGAAGTGAAAAGTTAGTTTTGTTTGATAAGAAAACGTGGAAATCGGAATGTATTCAATTCATTTCTGATTTTCGACAGTTTATTCCACTCAATCGAGTGTTCAAGAAAGACAAGTTCGTCCTTTTGAAGACCGGATGTTTATAGTTAAGGAATTATTGAGACGAAACAGTTGAGTTATGCTTGGAAATAATTTCAGAAACATGGGGCACAAAATTAGATCACTTTGAACCGCTTTTTTGTGAGGTGTTACGCAGGATGTATTCTAGTGTTTTGCTTGAATTCCAGGCTTCGTACCAATTGCCTTCAGTCTATTTACATCATTTCGGAGAGCACCGTGTTGGCAACCATCCTAGAATGGTGACCATATTGAAAAGCTGACTGATAGAATTCCATATGGAGCAAGGCCATCTTCTGAGTTTGACTATTTCTATGCATTATGTATTTGAAGCTGTTAACAGTTCACGAAGTCAATGCTGGGTCTTATTTATCCTGCAAATATATTCATTGCCGTTTTGCTCGAACGATAATGTTTCACTTGATACACAATGATGGCCTGTTTTTATCAAAGTTAACTGGGATATCGTTTGCAAGAGAACTGATCATATTATGTCATTTGGACAAGTTGAGATTACTGCTTACTAACAGCCCACCACAAGGAAATATTCAATTAACCAGTCTAGATGCACACTTGAAGCAGGGTAAATATCTTAAAAGATCACCTGAAACAGACCACTCTCTTCAATAGACAGTCTTATATTTGTGTTTCTCATACAAGTTACTCATTTTACGATTTAAGGTGCATGTTCTCAGTTATCTAAAATTCAAGATGACATTTTTGACATAAAATGAATTACAAGACTACTCATAAATTATTACCATATTCAATGTCGCCCTCAGGATAAGTAACACAAATCCCACGACAGCAAGTGTAGCTGCTACTGAGGTGAATACGATGAATCCCTTCGTTGTCAGATTATTCAAATTCCAACAGGTAAATATTATTATCACTGAGACCACAATGGTTACACCAACTGAGATATCAAGATGTACTGGACCATTATACAAATATCCCGCACCGACAAACAGTAAAACAACCTGAGTCGGTAAGGGATTGAAAACTGAATTATTAATATATACATTATTCTCATTTTACAAGTCAAAAGGTAACTAACATGTCTTCTTATTAAGTGACAAGTTCGGTTTTGGTTTGTTATTTACTAAGGTGAAATAATTGTGGATTTCTGACCATTTTCTTTTGTATTGAGTCTTTCACGAAATTATATCGGACAGATAATCAAAATAACAAACTATAAAGGAATCGCAGTCCACTTCTCTGTGCTATTCAGTGATTCTCTGACTGCTTCTTGTCGTTACGGAGGCCAAATCGAAAAAAATAAAATTATCTACAAATTTGAAAAGAGATTATAACAATTCTGTTTGAATTATCGCGTTTATCTTATTTGTGATGCAGCATATTGCATTCATGTGAAATGCTTCAAGTCAGATATAAATCATTTCTCTGAATATTATCAATAAGTAGTCATCAGACGATGAATTAAGAAGTAGAGAATATGACCAAATTGTGTTGTATATTCCTTGCTAAGAGAGGCGCTTCACTCTGAATGACGCCTCATAGTGTCAGCATTATCGTGGTAGTGAGGTGAATTTCCATAACACATCACATGTAAATGATCAAATCATTCATAACAAAAGAGATAATTCAGAAAGTTATAGATTTATGTGATACCTGAACAGTGTTTTACCATGAATTTCAACAGCGAAGACTGAAATAATTTTAGTCAGCTTTCCTGGGGACACCGACTCAGATATATAACAATATCAATTCTAGGTAACATTTTACTTACAGAGGTTTTACATGTGAGTCCCACAAAATTGTCTACTCATATTTCGACTTACCACCAACACCAGTGTAACATAGTTTACTGGAAACCTGCTTCTTAACTTCTCAACCAGCATTAAAGCAACATACAAACAGATTCCGCATAATCTGAAACAAAAATAAAATGAATACAAAAGTAGTCTAGATGTCACATTGTGACTAACAGTATCAGGCATTCACGAATAGAGAGGTGTGGCTATGCTAAATCTATCACTGAGTGATAATCGTAAGTATCTGAATAAATTAGCAGCATGTCTCACACCGTCAGTGTCATGTGCATATTCATGATGACTTGTTAAATAATGTTGGGCTGATCTTGGGTCTGGATACAGCTGACAAAATATGCACGTATGAATGAGCAGAAATTCGTTCACTGTTGACATTAATATAAACAGAAGCACATAAGGAAGAAATTTCATAATGCACTGGTGAATTCCACCAATGTGTTTACAAAGAAACTCACAGAATAATTAACAAGGCAATGCTGACTCTAAAATACAAACAAAGGTTATTACAGGACATGAATGTGTTTTATCTACCTGTTATTCATTGTGATGCTGTAATTCAAGGTTGTGATAGTTATCGTCCTTATATATATGCAGGGATGTGGAAGGATGTGGCTTCGTTAAATAGTTGGTGACTGTCAGTATCGCCAAAGTCCGTATTACTGTTTTCAAATTGTAGACAACAAGCAACAATATTCGTGAATCACCTTCGTCTTACTGTTAACAATTAAAAAGTTGTGTGGGTAAATAAAAAGGTTATCAGGAGACTGAAGCTGAAGGTGTCCGCGTGAATATTTCCGTTTAATAGATTTTCTTTATTGTGATTAAATCCAACAAGTTGCTTTACGAACTGAAATCCAAATAATTTCTAGCTTGACTTATGCTTCTTATAAGACGTAGTTGCTGGTGAAAGCACAGTTCAATTACTGTCAACCTTGTTTAACAGATACCTGATGAAACTAACATTTATATATATATTTCTTTATATATCCATTTATAATATTTACATCGAGAAGCCTTAAACTGAATAAGTTGCGTAACTGATCAAATGAGTGAACGCAGTGTTGTTCATTCATAACTTGCGTAGATATAAATAAGCTCAATGTCATTTTCGTATATCTGCAAGTTCAGATTATAAAAGTGTATTCTGAATTCACAGATATTCTATCTGGGTATCAAAAAAGTGAAGCACAATCTGTTACTTAATTGTCAAATTGTAATTTCAGTCCCACTGTCTTCTTAAAATGTCATTTCACAAATGAATCTACTTATATCGTAACAACTTCCACTGATAGTATCATAACTGAATACTGTCACCCGATAAATGGATGCCTAGATTATAATATCATGTGTACGAATTCATCCTTGAATTATCTTTTTTATTATAACCTCGATTATTTTCGATTAATTAACATACCTGAACTATAATCTTAATAACCACGTTGGCATTAAATTTATAAGATCAATATTTTACTATATATTCCATAATTGATGACAGGTTAATCTCACTCTTCATGAACATTGTGATATTCATCATGAAGCCTGTTACTTCTACATTGAAATTCTTCTTGTGAACTTGGACACAAAAATAGATAACGCATAAAGTGATTCTTAGTTCAAGGCATGATGGAAAATAAGAAGACGTTCAATGAATCACAGTGTAGAAAGAAATACTTTTCCTGAAAAATATTTTTCTAAGGACTTAAAAAGTTCAACGAGTTTCCGTGTACTAATTAAACATGCACCAGCCAATTTAGAATACGACGTTTTCAGAAGTACATCACACTGAAACCTGTAAACTAACAAAATTCAATTTTCATATACAGAGTGATTCAATACATGAGAAGCGCATCTCACATCTCATTCAATGAAGTGGGTTCAGTCAGTTCCGTACAATTGACTGTGTATAAGAATGTGTTCTCTGGGATTGCTATATATTTATAAAATAGAGTGTCAGTGGAAATCTGAAAAGAGTATATGATCTGAGTGGAAATTGTTGGTAGAATGCAAGTCTGTTAGACACAATCTGAAACTGAAATTCGCTTCATTGGCTTGACGGCCACTTGTTGAAATCTTATTAGCATACTGTTCCAATCTCATCTTCAGTTATCACACATCCCACTATTATCAGTATGCCTATCCAAAACTATCTCAAAAAGTTTCTTCAACATATTCAAATACAACATCTCAATAAATAAATGAAAAATATTGTTAATGAACTCACAGTATAGCTGTACAGTGGTAGGATTGAGTACTTTGGTATATCGAGTGCAATAATGTTTATAACTCATCTGCTTTTATTCATTCATTTCTGATAGAAAACACTGTGTGTGGTTAAGGTCTAATTTTAACAATATGAAGTGTACATAATGCCAATGCGCCAATAAAATGCTTACTATGACCGAAGTACGATAATCAAAGCTATGATTATGTTTGTGCATCGATCTCACAGACTTGAGTTAAACTTTGAAATGTGGTTCTGAGTAAGACAATTTAATTCAGATTACATCATTTATGGTGTAATCAAATAAAATGTTTACTCCTGTGAGAGTAACAAGCATTTTACTACCGACACTAAATTTACTTTCTGTTAAATCATATTTCTCTGATATTTCAAAGTATTTCGATAACCAATGTGAGAATTGATGTTAGAAAGGCTAGAATAAGCTGCGTATCATCATAAGGCTCTCCTCATTGAACATATCTACAATAGAAATCTCCGCTTCCCGGGGTTTATCCAGTTAGGTGCAAAACTATCCTCTCCGGTTTCCAAGTCTTTGCTGAAAATACGCGTGAATACACAGGTTTAAGACTCAGTTGAAAGCTGTGAAATGGATAAGAAGTGTCGATGGTTTTACAATAAGTGGAAAGTTTTATTTATCAATACAGAAGGCAATGTAGGGAGTAACTATGTGACTGGTGGACAGACGATGCGGCACTTAACACATCGCTATCATATTTTATGCGCAGAAATGGCTAGTTCACAGAAAAGCTGCCAACGATGACTGGAGTGAGATAACTTTTTAGTCTTTAGTACCAGCATACAGTTCTGGTCCATTTATCACTCTTAAAAGCCATATCTCTGGATTCCGAAAAATTGCAGATTCAAATTATGGAAGGCATTTCGTCTTAATACAAGAACAGAACTAGTGCACTGTGATAGATTATAATTCCATTGTGGGTAAAATTTGTGTTGATAAGGTTTCAACAGTGTTATACAGTATTATTTACTGATGACCACGTTTCGAGCACAATTTATTACTGCTCATAATCATTTTAAGTACTTATAGAACTTTCTAAGCTCGTTTGTATAATTCGATTATTTTTCATCGCTTCACTTGATTGGTAGTAGTATTTTCCATATATCCGGTATGAGTGATGAGTCATTCGTATTGCACGTGTTGTGTGTAGACTCGATGATCCTCTCTCTCTCCACCTACTTAAATTACTTCTGGGCTTTTCTCTAAATTACTTATCTTCTAGGAGTCAACCATTCTAACCTTAACTAAATTATGTTCCGACAATCTGACTACCTCCGATCTACTAGTTTTACCTATATAATTAACTTAACCTACAGTCATTGCAAGGTATTTGTAACTTATATTGTTCTGTCTAATTGGGTCATCCGAGTCCTTTAACCTACAGAGCTTGTCCTGCCTCAGTGAATTTGTAGTTTCAAATGCCACTTCTACTCCTGTTTTATTAATAATACTACATAGGGTCTTAAATGTAATTGTAAAACTGTAGATGTCTAATTGAATCCTTGTTCATCGAGTGAGTCTACACAAAACACATGCAATACGAATGACTCATCACACATACCGGATGTATGGAAAATACTACTACCAATCAAGTCAAGCGATGAAAAATAATGGAATTATATAAACGCGGTTAGAAAGTTGTGTGAGCAACTTGATATGAATATGAGCAGTAATAAATTGTTCTGGAAACATGGTCATCAGTAAATATTATCGTATAATACTGTGAGACTTTATCAAAATAAATTTTACCCATAATGGAAGTCATTTCTCCATTTCATGTAGGCTTGAATGATGCTGTTTGATCTACTTCATTTCCGCTCTGTATAGATTATGATGAACCGTCACATGAGTCAATTATTATTTCATGAACATTTATGGTTATCCTCTGTCATTTGCATCCGAATACAAACAGGCGGTATGTGGTTGTTGAGCAAGATTTGGATATTAATGAATCTGCTGAGTTCAGATAGATGACTGAGTACAATTTGCGTGCAGACTCCGTTTTTGAAACAAATTTTCGATTAGCTCAACTGAACAAGTTTTCAAAAGTACGCTTATCATGGGGCAAATACTAGATAACTGTTTAAATCCTCACGCCGAGTTATGTTATCATGTGACTACCTGACTGCCATCACAGTTGTTGACTGCTTATTTTGGAGCTTGCAGGAAACACTTATTCTCTAAAACAAAATGACTCAACGGTCAGTGTTGATTAAAATTTCTCTGAGTTTGGATCTTTGAATTATATGAATGAATGTTTCGACACTGGACTGATACTTATCCTCAAGTAACTACATACTCGGATAGTTAATTATTCCTAACAACCATAGTACAGTGTTATCGCATCTTTCATTACTTCGATTATATTTTGATGTTTCATTCACTTACTGTGTGTTTCATTACATCCGCCATAAATGTGACACCTAATAATAAACCAGTTGTCCAAATGAGACGTACAAGACATAAAATGGTTCTCACTGCACTGTCTAAGTAAAAAAACTATATTGCTCAAATTGCCAACTGTTTATGAAATTCCTCACAAATTTGTATACTTTCATATGAAATAAGCTCCCCCTTCTTTGATGTTCCTCCGTAGGTGAATACCGCATAATTTGGTTAGAATTCAACTGAACTGTGATAATTAAATTGACATAGTTTATATCATTTCTGTTGAACCTTTGCAGATGAGTAGTATTTCATTGTTGGCATATCATAAAGTTAGGTGAAGATTTTTGTAATGTATTCACAAATCATGCAGACGTATGGCCTGTTAATGAAGTCGATACTGCTCTGACTTCAATGATAACTCAACCTACAATAATGAAGCGAGTGGATATGAACGAAATAACTGCCGAAGAACCTCGTTGATACTTATTTTGGAACGACTTTATCGACTAAGACTTGTAATGAGATGAAAACATCAATGGTAGAATTCAGTAAAGGAATATGTAAAGTTTAGATTGATAATTGCAACACTTAGTATTTCAGGAGAAAACATAAATAAATCATTTTGATCAACTTCAACATGCGTTTCATCAGGCTGGACCGCTACTTGATCCCTGTTGGAAATACTTCATCAGTGTACAAACATGACTATAACGATGCATCAGCTATCCAACCATTAATGTAGTGGGTACATACCGCTAAATGGTCACAAAAAACGACCAAAGAGCTGTTCAGTGCAACCTCATTTGGCTTGCTAGCCTGTATCATGCCCAAGAAAAGAGCGAATGTTAGGCCCTATCTGGGAAAATCCCGTCAATCCTTCCATAAACTTCATAGCGAACAAGGTGGGGAGTGTCACTGTTTTACTAACGGCTATCGCCTCAGAGTATTTCAGTATGCTCATCTGACGGTGAAATACTGAATGGAGGATGAAGATGTCATAAAGACCTGAATATGTAATCCAATTTTCCGACTGGTTTCGCGGAATGGATTGTTCAGCTTGAGAGAGTGCTCACGGACTAGCTGAATGAATCAGTTGAAAATTCAAAGCACAGAAACATTTTGTCCTATTCAGTGGTTCTCAGAATGGTGTTGGCTTGAGATAAAAGCTAATTTGAAATTAACTTCGACAGTGTTATTACGGGGTTTATCAGAAAAAATGTTATAAATATGTGTAATGCGTTTTGAACAACCGGATCACACAAAAGTTCAGTGATTAAATCAGTTTATCTGCAAAATGTTTGTATGAGATACAAATTCAGATAATTATAATGATAAGGAGTTTAGGCATAATAATGATGGTAATTATTAACACTGTTCTAAGGAGTATCATTAGATAAGGATCACCAAAAGAGGCTAAGGGTAATAATGGATTGTTTTTGCACACAAAACACACTGGGTGGCTATCACTTCAGCGTATTTCAGATTGCAATCCTAACCGTTTTTTATTGAAAACATTAAAGTCCGTACTGACAGCAGCCACAGTGTCTTCTTATCAATTATATGTTTGGCTATATATGGTCTGCAACGTGTGTTTATCAAGGTTTTAGTGTTTAATTGGTTTTCAAGTCATTTGAGCATATTTTTGATATGAACTGTGATCAAGATTTAGTAGAATATTACCACAAAAACAAAATATTAACATATTTGTATGTATGTTTGCATCATCCTTTATGTGCATGATGTGAATACTCACAAGTATATGTGTATGTGTATATACACACACAAAGAGATATGTTAACTGTTATGCAGCTTGAAATGCATCCGATGTATTAACATTTTACCCGATTTTGCTTAAAATTCAAACAAAGTTCTGCAGAGAAAATGAAGATGTTGTCAAGAGATGAATATATATTCTGAACCTAGTGAAAGCAACTTGCGAGAGTAAGCCTGGAGAATGGTTTGTGTAACCTGATAGAGTGCTCAGGGACTAAGGGAACTCTACAGCAAAAGTGAGATAATAACGAAAATGTGTGACGTAAGTAGGGTGGAGAGAAGAAAAAGACGGATATGTAGTTGTGTTACGTTCAGAAGACATACAATGAAATGAGTAGTGACCGAATACATCTACAAGCGAATTCCTGTGTATACTTATATGCTACAACTTATCCCTTTGAAGGTATCTTCACGTCTACGCATAATCTAGTTCGCCTCATGTATATATCTGAGATTTCAGGCAATGGAATGTTTAAGACAGGGCTATGTATACAGAAGAAACTTGTACAGCAACTGCTCTTTTACTCATCCTAAACTGTTCAATATAAAATAAAGTATAATTATATTTCAATAGTTTACATACAATGATAAGTTTTGTTATTGGTAATATTTCGAGCAAAATTACTGCCCGTGTTCACACCACTGTTGGAATTGTTTAATTCACACATTTATGATTTGTACTCATATATATATAGTTCATTATTATTTTGTGTGTGTGTGTGTGTGTTCAGCATTATATTTCAGGTTCGTTTATGTGTGCACACAGGCAGTAAGTTTGCTCGAACTATTACCAATAACGAAACTTATCATTGTGTGTAAATTATTGAAATATAATTATACTTTATTTGATCTAATGTACAATGCTTAAACTTTTTACTGATATTAATGTTCACTATAAATTCAGAATGAAATAATAATAAAGTAAGAACGCCTTCCACTCTTCATCTAACGTTGCACCTTTGATGTCTCCATTCTTCTTCTGGTAGAGTGTAAATTGTTAAACATTTTATCTTCACAATACCTCCATTATAATCGATGAACACTCAGTAGTCCTTGTAAGTAATCGTAAACACTTGCGAACCAATTGCTATCTTAAATGCAATCGTCGAAAACATCTCTTCACAACATTTCACAAAGATAATTGTTCGCGTGTAACTAAACAGCGTCTAATATCACAGAAATAACAGTTGAGAACCAGACAGAGAATCAATAATGTGCAGCCAAACGACGAACCCAGTTCCTCGATGGTTGCTTTATAGAACTTGGAAAGCATGAGCCAGTTTTAGGCGACCAAGGATTACGGTAACGATTCAACTTGAAAGACATCAGTTGTAAAGCGAGAAAATAAACAGTGTTGAAACGGTTATGAATAAAGTCTTCGATATATACACATCAGAGATATTCTCTACTCGCAATCTCATGAATCACTCGAGATATGAGAAGCTTTCATGAGAAATGATAGACGTATTGTTAAAAGGAACCTCTTGAACACAGTTGGTTTGTACCAGAATATCGTGCGTTTTTGGGCAATAAACTCACAGGAACTACGACAATTGCTATTTGCCGTATAACCACATATTTCCTGTTACGCCAGTGATTAAAGTTAATGCATCATAATAACCTAATTACTTATATATGGTCGGATCGTTTTTGTGTTTGATGATGGGATAACCGCAGGTAATACACATTCTAACAGCTGTGATCAACCATGATTTGTATTTGAACATTAGGGCTATATGACTTTGAGGATTAATAGATTTCAGATCATTTGTAAAAGCATTGGTGGATTTTACAATGTCTGTAAGAGTTAGTATGTTCTACATTGTGGTGACTTTTCGATAATTTCTCGAAATCTGAAACTCTGCCTCACTAAAATATTGTGTATATCCCACAACCCTCTATTGAAAAGACTGATATCTGTTACAGCTGCGGAATACAGGCTGAGAATCGTGCTCCTGTGCAACAGAAACAAAATATTTGAAAGTCGCTGTATGGAAGTAATGAAAGAGGCTCTGCGTGCTGGTCTCCTTCTGCAATAGACCTAATGGATGTAAAGTGAGCTTAAAGAGATTCAGATCGCAACAAGGCGCTGCATGTGGTAGACCCTACAATGACAGTCAACTCAGCATCTCAAATTCATTCACTTTGGAAAGACCTTCAACAGCGTCGGTTGTGAAGCAGTTTGACAGATGTCTCAACAAAATGGAGTGAGGTAGAGTAGGCCATCAGAAACTTCATTCAGAAGCTACATTATGATGTGACGTGTGAAATCATTTACAATGAGAAACTCAGTAAAACGTTTGAAGCAAAGACCAGAGGAAGATATGTCTACCTAGTGTCATCAGTGATATTCCCAATCATGACGGACTGGATCAGGTTGTATGCTGTGCGACGTGAGAAGATGAAAATACATAAGAATGACAAAAATAACCTATAAGACTCAGGCTCCACAGACGATTGATATCACGTGCTGAACATTCCTGGAATTTAACAATTGAAAATTGAAGCGTTGTCAGAAAAAACAGCGGAGACAGGATCTTAGGTGTATACAGAGAGGTCAGAGGAAATAATGAAAATTCCAGACCCACAGTAATAGATATGAACCCCTAGCATTAGTAGAAATATAAATAAAGCCGACCATTTTATTACCACTTATCTGCTTTAGTCAGCACCATTATAGTCACAGGCAGCGAGTATTAAAATGACTAATCTAGTCATGATCAGATTGTGTAAAGAAACAGCGTTTAATACTCCGAGAACCACTGGAAAGATATATAACACTCATCATTAAGAATATGATTCCACTTTTTAACTTAAACATCAACGTCAGTGCTAAAATATAATTCAGACAGTGTTAACGAGGTTCTGTAATATTTACAGTGATGATTGACCCGGTATTATCAACCGTTCGGTAATATCAGTTAAGTATATGCGGGCATATTTTCAAAGGTTTTTATCGTTTGAAGACTTCAGAAACTGAATTGCTTTCTTAGGTAAATTCGCCACACTTCCATGAAATGTGCTCGACACATCATTCAGTAATTAATACCGTTCCACTGTGGGATGTATCTAATAAACAAGTTAATATGACATAAGGATGCGCTACCGAAGTCATATGTTCTATTTGGAAACCCAAATAATAGTAGTGATAATAAGAGTAATGATAACAAAGATAAGCTGTTTGGAGTACATCACACACTTCCCTGGGTGTTTCTGGTGTCAGACAGAAAATCATGAATTTAAGGTGCAATGTGATGAGACCTGCTGACTTTGAGCAATTGAAGAAGCTCCTGTCTGCTAAGCTCAGGATCCATATTCTACACGTAGTGTGAATGGTGCATCTGCATTAGCATTAAAACAGAAAATTTAAAATCATGCTACTGATGAGACGTAAGTCCAGTACAGTGATAAGTGTATGATAAGGCGTCACAACAGACACGTATTACAAATAGGTACATAATTGACCAGACTGTTGAAACAAATATCTACCGTATTTCACCTGCATTTTTTTTTGTAAAATTAATTATACAGAAAAATGCTGAAGCGTCAGAAATTCGGATTATGACTTCACTTTAGCGGAATTATCTATAAAGTTTCTTTCATAGGGCAGTGTAACTGTTCACACTGAAATATTGTGCCATTATCAATCATAGTGACGAGCCGAGGAATATGGAATCTCACTTCATACCAATGTCTTCGAATTTTATTTGTGTCTGTCAATGACCAGTATTTTATCCTGAATCTGTGCCTCAGTGAGCTTAGAATGTTACGTATCGCACAACGTTTGAATCCTTTGATTTTCTTTATTCATGGGGTGGTATTGAACTTTACGCTACCAGCACTTATAAACAACAACACAATCAATATTTCACTGAAGGCAAAATGACGTGTAACTCACTAGAGTTGCTGCAGAACATAAGCAGACACCAGCGAGAATTCTCATGTATACCTGGAGTAAGAAAAGAATCACAGAATCTTTGATAAGTGAAGTGAAAATATTTTTCGTGTAATGAACTAATGTTAAAACCGAAGGGAATTGAAGTTAACTCTGATTATGGATAATTCATTTTGTGTAATCAGGTATTGAGAAAAGACGACTTCACCCTTCAATTATGATAATAAAACAAGTGGTCATTTTTACACCTACTCATTCTCTTTTAAATAACTCAGAGAAAGTGAGAAAGGTAAGATGATTGGACAGACTGAATTCATCAGTTATTGGAAATGTGCGATAATCCAAGAGAAGTTTCAAATGTGAATCAATGAAATCTTTTTGATGTGTGAATAATTCATTCTGAATGTGAGTGAACAAGGAAGAGATTGTCTTTTCTGTGTGCTCGCGAAAGCTGTATAAACATAGTGGTTACTTCTGATACACATTTTTCTCTTATTTAGTCTACCAATGAATGAAATGATCATTTTTGATTATAATCATTGTTAAATTTCAAGTGGCGTAACAATTAATGTCATATATAGAATAAAACATATGGTGCATAGCTGTTGGATATGGGTGCATAATTATAGGATTAAAAGGTGAATATAAAAATGTTACATAACACGGTGTGAAATTTGATAATAATTTCGTAAAAAAGAAATTTTGGAATTAGGAATGACAAGTGAGACAAGTGGAAACAATTCACAGTTAGAATATTAATAATAATAATCGTAGTAATAAGGGAAAGGTACATATAATAACTAAATAAACATAATACGTAAATAAATGTCTATCCCTCTACGGCCTAGGCAAGGGTAGGGATTGTGCATATATTCACCTCCTTATCCTGTAATTATTCACCCATTTCCAAGATCTATACACCTTACGGATTATTCTATATATGACAATAATTGTTTCGCCAGTTGACATTAACTATGATTATAATCACAAATATTTTAATTGCATTTTATGCTATTGTTATTTCATGCGTTCACAGTTTTGATCGAATTCCCTGGCCGTATATAATATTTTGAAAACGAATATGTTTGCAGTATGAAACAAGCTTATTTTATACGAGTGGTTATTGTTCAGCTACAAACACCCTGAACTGGAACTTTACTCTAAGCGTAAGTGTGGAAGGCACTTCAAATCTGTTGTAACTGAGAGGTTACTCAACTAATCTTGTCATCATAATGAAACAGAAGGAACGGATTAAAGTCATTAAGTTACTAAGCAAATGGTCAGAGTTAATTTATGAATAAAATGGTGCAAACCTCTAGAGGAGGCAGTGGCAGTGAAAATATATGCTCAGGCAGGAATCTGCTCCCCATCAGAATCTGTTTAACGTTTCCGAACAATTCATCATTATGACTTCCTGTACATGAAGTTGTCTCTCTTCTGAACAGTGTTTCAACCGGACTCCAATTGCAATCAATGGAGCAAACAACTTGATAATCGACCCATCAGAGATACTTCGCCATAGATATTTTATTCAAATATGTGACCAGTTCTTCGTTTTACATATTTATCCAGGAAATTTGAATACGTCGCTGTTATGCACTCGACGAGTAGTTAATAGTCCTGACACGGAAAGGGGGAAATCAGAAGACCACCAAGTTTACGATGATACTTGTATTTTCCAGACAAGGAAATTAAATGTCACACTAGTGTGTGAGTGAATTGGTACAAGTGTACGAAATGTGTGTGAACAAGAAAGGAAGTGACCAGTGTCTAATACAAAAGTATATATGGAAATGGCTAATACACATGACCAATAAGACAACGTCTTACCATGATTGGTTGTAATGTCATGTGATAACAATGTCACACATTGTTTATTTAGTAAATGGACAGACAAAAGCATAATGTCAGTTATAATGGAATATCGATCCATATACACATAGCAAAATATAATAGAGTGTCAAAAACAAAACACACATCATGTAGGTACATAAAGGTTGCATAGATAATCTATTTTAGTCTTATTATGTGGGCGACTTCCAGTTTTCTAGGAAGGTAATACATGCATTAAGCATATTTGACCAATATGACAAATGCATTAATAACATACTCTCAGTGATATATGGCCTTCTGTACTTCTGGAATAAAGTCTGCAAAAACTAGATCTCTGAATTTCGTTTCTGCTCACTATTGCGCCAAAATGTTCACATAATTTTGATTTTCACTCACTGATCCCGACTCAATCTGGACACTTCACATTATCTAATTGCCTGTTCATTCACGTAATACTTTTATATTTTCAGGTATTGGTTTTGTAAGGATGAAAAACATGTCCAGTGCTACCGGGTTTTCCAGTGGGAATAATAATAATAAATAAGGGAATAACCGTATTTATATTGGAGAAAATGTATCAATTATTACTCACTCTATCTCGAAAGTAAAGCAAAATGAATCCCGAAAACGCCAGTAAAGATGCTATCGTCGAGAATATGATTAATCCCTTTGCTGCCAAATTACTCAATTTCCATGAGAGATCAATTACAATTCCTGAGATCACTGCAGTTATTGCGAATGATATAAGGAACGACACATAGTCATTGGACAAAAATCGAACACCCGCACACAATGAAATGAACTGGGTAGAGAAATAAGTGGAATTTGAAAAAATATAATTTTATTATTCTCATTTTCCAAAAGAGAAGAATTGAAAATCAATGACGTAGAGGATTTTTGTTTGACTTCATAAAATGTTCAAACATTATATGTAACAAATCGTGATGTGGATTTATTCGCGAACTGATGTCTAACAGAGAATTACTGTAAACCACGACTCACTGGTTAACAGTCTCAAACCACAATGAGTTTGATTTTCAGTGATTCTGTAAATGACAAGGGTTAGCTATGAAGGAACAGAGAAAAATCCTTACAAAATTCGGAACATGATTATTATAAAATTGTTTGAGTAATACAGTTTATCCCGTTCCAAACGGATATATTGTATTTCTTTGAAATATTTCATGTGTGCTGGAGCCTTCTCCTTTCAGTATGATTAGGTAATAATCATGTAGTCAAGAGCCTGATCAGTTTCTTTTGTATACTTCCTAGTGAGAGAGGAGTTCTACTCAGTGTCAGACCCGCAGAACCTGAGAACATTTTCGTGATAAACGGAATCCGCATGGATTATTCTATGGAAATGTGGAAGTGTTACATTTCACTGACATATATTGTGGGATAGTGAGTTAAGGTCCGTTCAGGTTAACACGACTTTAGGAAGAGAAGAGTGAGTCCTTTTCCTCATTAGAAATTTTCTCCATTGCAAAAGTGAACATCCCAGATGTGTGTCACATTTTCGGTGTACCGAACATGCGAAGTATCGATTCAGTACTCAAATTAAAATTGAACGGATAATTACTACGGATATAGATAATGCAGAAAGTTCTTGACGTAGATTATTGGTTATTGATTATTGTAGCATAAATCTTGTCAACAACGATTGAAATATTTGTAGTCAGTGTTTCTTTAGCATGATGAATCAGAATTATGACAATATCCAGTCCATTCAACATTTGACATACAGCGTAAATTATCATGTTCGTCTATTTCCACTCACAGTTGAACTTACCGATATTGACAATAAAATATGGTTTAGTGGATAAATGGTTCTCAGCCTCTCACATAGCAGTAAAGCACCATATATGTTGATACCAGACATTCTGAAGGAAAAACAAAAGGAGATACATCAAAAGTGACCTGTCCAACTTCATGTCCATCAGATATACACAATGTGTGTGAATGGTACATAAACGTGTCTAATACCATCAGGATCATATCGACGATAAATAGTTGCAATTTTGAATGAACATTGTGCTCAATGATGATGAAATTTATGGAATGCAACATCAGTAATTGAGGCATGTTAGAAATCGTGGAATTACGTTGAATTATTGACACATGATTCAGTGGGCTTAAAAATGAAACTTACAGAGCAATAAAGGCATGAATGTTGTACCTAGATTTTAAACAAAGGTTATTACGAAATACGATGTATGTATTACCCACCATGTACTAAACATGCTTCTTTTTAAATATAAGGACGACAGGATTATCGACTTTGTTGTGAAGACCGAGTAGCGTCCAAGATCAGTATGAAGTGATAGGAAATGTTGTTGTTACTTGAGAATTGAAAACTGCAAATGACGAACACCAGACATTAAATAACTGTTGGTCACCTTCGTTTCTTACTTAATAACTGTAGTTAAACGTTTTCTACGAATAATTCCATAGATTGACTACAAGAATATTTATATTACATCTGCTCATATAAACCAATGCAAAGTCTTGACTATAAAAGCAAAAACAATAAGCATAATACAAATGTGTCATTAAAATTTTTATCATGTCCAAAGTACAATAATAACCAAATCAAGTATTTTTTTGATACGTGATCGCGGTGAAAATATTTTATGATTTAATCTACGTCTTTTCTATTTTAAGTGTCTTTTTTTCAAGTATAATTCAACGTGGCGTAAAGGTTTCTAAGTCATTGAGATGAGAAAAAATTCAAAGCTGAGAGTGATATTGGTTTGTTCGGAGTCGACTTATATTTGTAACTAATATGCTTTTAAGAAACTAGGCAAATAATCTGTGGTATATGCGAGTTGCGAACTATTACTTGGTGGAAAAACAAAAGTAGCTTTATTCGATTTCGTTAGTGGGCTCATGGTGAAGGCATTCGCTTGAGTGTAATGTGAACCGGAGACCTAATTTTAACAAGAACACATTTCTATGAGTATTAAACTTCGGGACTGTGGTAGATTGTAACTCCATTATGCATAAGATTTTATTTTGATTAATCACACAGTGTTAGACACAAATATATTGAATGATGATGTTTCGTGTACAAATTATTGCTTATTATCATTTCAAGGCACCAACATGAATTTTCGCTTCATTTATATATATATGAGTAAAATTGATTAGACATTTGAATAAAAATCAAGATAATGTACATTCAAAAATGAAATTGGAGTTATCAATCAAATACAATCAGATGGGAAATAAGATGTTTTTATAGTAAAAAAATAACTTGTTAGAATGTTATAATGTAAGTGAATTCAAAGAGAATTTTAAGATTATTTATTATCTTCATCTGATTTGACTGGTAATAATATCATCCACATCTCTCGTATTCGCGTTGAATCACTTCTACTGGATGTGTTGGGTGTAGACTCGATGAACCAGGATTCAGTAATTAACCTCTCTCTCCATCTACGTATCTTTCTTCTCAATTTTGTGTTAGTGCATGCAGTACCACTGATGAGATTTTTCCAAATTACTTATCTTCATGGGATCAACTATTCTCATCTTAGCTTGATTCTTATGTTCTGATAATCCCACTACTCACGATCTACTAGTCTGACCTATGTAGCTGACTTAACCCACATTCATTGCACGGTATTTCGTAAATTATATCATTTCGTATAAATTGATCTACCAGGTTCTTTAGCCTACAGAGCTTGTCCCTTGGTGAGTTTGTAGGTTTGAATGCCAACCTAATTCCTCTTTTATTCAGAATCCTACGTAGGTAGGGTCTCAGATATCCCATCATTATATAGTAAAACTAAAGTATATTCCTTATGTTATCACTATTAGTCTTGCCATAATTTTTTATTTTCCTTTTGACCTTTCCAAATCTTCCCAATGAATATTATAAAATAGTTGGTTACTTTACCCCCAACGTCTCTTCTATCTGTTTTATTTTATCATTTAGGTGTTTTGTTGTGGTATTTAGTGTTAGACACTTAACTAGGCCAGCCTTCACAGACAAAGGATGAGATGAATTAAAGTTTCAATATCAATTATAAAGAGTTGGCCTTTTGTAAACGCAAGTGTGCAGTGTACCTTCTTCTATTTGTTTTATTTTTACAATCTAACAAAGCTAATCCTCCTTGTTCATTTCCCGATTCAAATAGGAATTTTACTCCCTTTACTAGCGAGTTTATATGTGCGAAGAAACTGGAGGTATGTTCTGTTTTTAACACTGTGAAAGTGTCATACACATATTTCCAACATATTTCTGGAGTAGGTTTAAGTATATTAAGAGCCATATGTTCCCAGCTAAAGATATCTACTACGATAGGACATATTGATGACCTCATCGTTACACCATCTGTATGTTTATATATTTTGTCATGGAATTTTTAAACAGTAAATTTGAGGCATAACTGAATTCCTAAAATGATTTTCTCAATGGGCAGCTGTATCCTGTGACTAAGTCCGGGATCAGAAGTCAGTTCTCTTTTAACCACTTTCAACACCATGTTGATGGATATGTTAGTCTAAAGATCACTTATATCGAAACTGACCATTTTTTCATTATTCTCTAATTGAATGCTATCTAGTTTCCTTTTCACTTCATATGAATTAGTTAGCCTAGAAATCTAAATGATTCCTAGTGGGACATAGTGTGAAAGCCAAGTGTTTTGATAATTCATTTGTCGGCGTATTCCTGAAATCTACTTTTGGCCTTATGGAGTAACCTGATCCATGTATTTATACAGTTCCATATATTCTACTAGCGTTACGATATGATGTGCTAATGAGCAATAGTTTGTGCTTGAAATTTTCATCCGTTAATATTACTGCACAACTTTGTGTGATTTAGCACATTTCTTGTTTTTGTATACACTAAAGTTGATCAGCACACCTCGTTGTTTGAGGAGAGCAGTTAAATATTCATTCAAATCATCACTTTTTAAGATTTCCTAGGACTTGGAATGACAATGTTTCCTTCAAGGGCATCTTGTAGTGATAAGAAAATATTTCCTACTCTAGAATTCATAGAAAAATTGCCAGTATCATGGATTATTCGTTAACATAATCGATTTTTAAAATGAGATTACTGGGTGTCACTAGTTGTCGATACTGATAATGCACGTCGGTTAAGGTAGAATGTCAATAGTACCAGTAAAATGATTTATGAAAGAATCAACTGTTTGCAACCAGATTAAAATTATAGAACCAGTCCATGTAGCTGCATGAGTGTGATGATATATGTATGAATGGGCGGTAATCTATACAGAATCAGAATGAAGTAAAGAGAACAATATTCCTTCAACCTGGATGAAATGGGGTAATAACAGTCATACTTGTATTCATAAATTTTGTGGAATAAAGATTCTTAATAAGAATAGCTTCATTCTGCACAGCGTTTAAATTTTGTAGAGGAATTTCAGCATAGTTTGTTGCAGGATATTTTCTCTACATCCAGAATATTCAAATAAAATATCACGAGACAGTAGACCAAGTGGAACAATTCTGCCTGGCGTGAAACGCAAACCAAGAAATTACGATGTCTCTCCTTTGTCTTCTTCAGTAAATGCATGTAATTTCATTGAATAGCTGTTAGAAAGGTTTCAGCGATCCATTCTGTTAATTACCGACACAACCCATGAACAGCTATGCATTGCGATAAACCCCCGACCCACGATTATGTTTTTTCTTATGATAACTGGAGACTTGCAAATCAGCAAGTTGCAAACAAGTCAAATACTCGCCAGAGTATAAAACGTAATTAAAGGTGATATTTTATCAGATTTAAACAAACTGAAAGGCAGAAAATATTTGTCAAATATCGATCGATTTTTCTGTAGACCGAACTCAAACAGGCCACCTTTAAGTATCTCTCCTAAAACAGTCAACTGGACTTGAACTGCATGTTGATGTTAATGACTTGACGTTACCCCTCTTCATTCATAGTAAGAAGCATTTGTCAAGACGGTTCATTCGAATTCACTTATTGTGAAATCGATTCGCTGAATGCTACATTGCACATTCACCAATCTTAACATTTCCCCTTTCGTATTATTCTATCCTGATACATTAAATTTACTGTGACACATGGTACAGTCTACACCTCTTATCTAATTCACAGCTTCAGTCTAAGTCTTGCACCTGCGCAAACGCCTCTATGCTCAAAAATGATTTTCCTCGTCTCTTTTGGCCTATTACAGCTGGTAGTTTTGCACTTAACTGAATAAATCAGAGAGACAGGAGATTACTGTGATGGACAAGTTTAATGGAAACGTTTATTGGCAAAACTTGTCCAGCATTTTGGAACACAAATTTTGTCCTTTGTTATCAAAACACTTAGAAAAATTTCAGGAAAATATGATTTGACAGAAAGAAAATAAGCTGTCTGTAGTAAAATGATGGTTATCCTGAGAGGAGAGCACATTTTGGTTAACTTTACTACAAATGACGTAATCATAGTAGAAATATCTTGCACACAACCATGTTTTACAGTTTGAATTAAGTTTGTGAGACTGTTGCACAGACAAAATCATAGTGGTGATTGTCGTACTTTGGTCATAGTAAGAATAGTAAGTATCGTTGTATTCACATTGTGCAAATTTAGTAGTGTTATCATCAAACCTTAACCTCACAGTGTTTCTTTATAAGAAATTAATCAATATAGTCAGATGTGTTATAAATATTATTCCAGTCAGTCTATGAACTCAGTTGTCCCTCTTACTGTACACCTAAACTGTGAGTTTTGCACAAAACCTTTTGATAAATAACACGCTCTGTTCCTCTGGAAGTAACGTATCAGTGAACACAAATTTCGATAATGTCACACACTCCTTTCAGATTGCCACTGACTTTTATAAATATACGATAATACTAGTGAACACAGTCGATTATCTGGAATTGACTGAATCTATTATTTCCCCTACTTCTTTGAGTAAGGCATAGGATATGCTTCTATTATGTCTATAACTTTCAGTGTTGGCTTAATCAACTGGTGTCAGTAAAGTCCTTGTGAATTGGGGAAGAGACCAAAACTTATTAGGATTATATTTTGATTGTTTACATACACTGATAGGCTTTTTCATTGTGGTGATATCTGGGAGTTGTTCATTTAATGAGGAAAACTACAGCATATTTATACATTTTTAGCTACATTTATTTATGTATACAATTGGTGGATGGTGGCTAGCAGTGGAATCCAGGATGCGCATTTCGTCCTATTTGGGACTCGTCAGCTAAATGTATCTGCATTCCTCAGTGAGTGATGATGTTCCCACTGAGAAATGCAGGTACATCCAGCTGACGAGTCCCAAATAGGACGAAATGCGCATCCTGGATTCCACTGCTAACCACAATGCATCAGTTGTATGCTAATTAAATGCCCAGACATCGTCGAAGCATCTGCAGAAAAAGCCGACATGTCAACCTGAGACCGAGCACTTC